GGCATGGTGGCACATGCCTGTATTCCCAGCTACTCAGGAGGCTGAGGCAGGAGAATTGCTTGAACCACGAGGCAGAGGTTGCAGTGAGTCGAGATCATGGCACTGCACTCCAACCTGTGCGACAGAGTGAGACTCCATCTCAAAAAAAACAGAATAAAAATAAAAATAGGCTGGGTGTGGTGGCTCACGGCTATAATCCCAGCTCTTTGGGAGGTTAAGGCAGGCGGATCACCTGAGGTCAGGAGTTTGAGACCAGCCTAACCAGCATGGCAAAACCCCAGCTCTACTAAAAATACAAAAATTAGCAGGGCATGGTGGTATAATCCCTGTAATCCCACTTGTAATCCCAGCTACTCGGGAGGCTGAGGCAGGAGAATCACTTGAACCCAGGAGGCGGAGGTTGCAGTAAACCGAGATCATGTCATTGCAATCCAGCCTGGGTGACAAGAGCAAAACTCTGCCTAAAAATACATAAGTAAATAAATAAAAATGAACATTTCTGTCCAGGCCTGGTAGCTAACGCCTATAACCCAGCACTTTGGGAAGCCAAGGCGGGAGAACTGCTTGAGCACAGGAGTTTGAGATCAGCCTGTGCAACAAATTGACACTCCCATCTCTACCAAAAAAAAAAAAAAAAAAAAATTAGATGGTTGTGGTAGCATGTTCCTGTGGTGCTAGTTACATGGAAGGATAAGGCAGAAGGAATGCTTGTGCCCAAGAGGTTGAGACTACAGTGAGCCATGTTCACGCCATTGCACTCCTGGATGACAGAGTGAGACCCTGTCTAAAAACAAAACAGAACAAACAAACAAAATAAATTTAAGACTTAAAAAAAAAAAAAAAGGACTGGGTGTGGTGGCTCATGCCTGTAATCCCAGCACTTTGGGAGGCTGAGGCAGGCGGATCACGAGGTCAGGAGATTAAGACCATCCTGGCTAACATGGTGAGACCCTGTCTCTACTAAAAACACAAAAAAATAACGCAGATCCAGGCCAGGTGCAGTGGCTCAACCCCTGTAATTACAGCGATGTGGGAGGCCGAGGTGGGCAGTTCACTTGAGGTCAGGAGTTTGAGACTAACCCAGCCAACATGGTGAAACACCATCTCTACTAAAAATACAAAAATTAGCCAGGCATGGTGGCATGCGCCTATAGTCCCAGCTGATTGGGAAGCTAAGGCATGAGAATTAGTTGAACCTGGGAGATGGAGTTTTCAGTGAGCCAAGATAGTGCCACTGCACTGCAGCCTGGGTAACAGAGTAAGACTCTGTCTCAAAAAAGGAAAAAGAAATATAGATCCAAATGGAAGATGTATGCCATAAGATAAAAATTTTCATTGGCGAATGATATGAACAGACACTTTTCAGAAGACATTAGTATGACCAAAAAACATGAAAAAAAGCTCATCATCACTGGTCATTAGAGAAGTGCAAATCAAAACCACAATGAGGTACCATCTCATGCCAGATAGAATGGCGATCATAAAAATGTCAGGAAACAACATGCTGGAGAGGATGTGGAGAAACAGGAACACTTATATACTGTTGGTGGGAGTGTAAATTAGTTCGGCCATTGTGGAAGACAGTCTGGTCATTCCTCAAGGATCTAGAACCAGAAATACCATTTGACCCAGAAATCCTATTAGTGAGTATATACCCAAAGGATTATAAATCATTCCACTTTAAAGACTCATACACATACATGTTTATTGCAGCACTGTTCACAATAACAAAGACTTGGAACCAACCCAAATGCCCATCAGTGATAGACTGGATAAAGAAAATGTGGCACATATACACCATGGAATACTTTGCAGCCATAAAAAAGGATGAGTTCATGTCCTTTGCAGGGACATGGATGAAGCTGGAAACCATCATTCTCAGCAAACTAACACAAGAACAGAAAAGCATACACCATGTTCTCACTCATAAGCAGGAGTTGAACAATGAGGACACAGGAGAGAAATATCACACACTGGGGTCTGTTGGAGGTGGGGGGGGCGAGGAGAGGGATAGCATTAGGAGAAGTACCTAATGTAGATAATGGGTTGATAGGTGCAGCAAATCATCATAGCACATGTATACCTAAGTAACAAACCTGGGCATTCTGCCCATGTACCACAGAACTTAAAGTATAATTTAAAAAAGAAAAACAAACTTCAATCCTTATTGGACATGGTGGCTTATGCCTGTATTATCAATACTTTGGGAGGCCAAGGTGGGCAGATCAACTGAGGTCAGGAGTTCGAGACCAGCCTGACCAATATGGAGAAACCCTTCCCTACTAAAAATACAAAACTAGCCAGGCGTGGTGACATATGCCTGTAATCCCAGCTACTCAGGAGGCTCAGGCAGGAGAATCATTTGAACCTGTGAGGAAGAGGTTGCAGTGAGCCAAGATTGAGCCATTGCACTCTAGCCTGGTCAACAAGAGGGAAACTTAGTCTCAAAACAAAACAAAAACTCAATCCTATTTTCTAAATTTAAAAAGGAGTGTTGCTGAAATTTTCATCTTCCCTGATAATATTATAGTTCTATAAACCAGTCAGAAGTTGTTATAGTATTTTAAAAGGGCACATCCAAAACCCAGTGTATTTTTTATTTTATTTTCAAAACCCAGTGTTTATATTAATTTAGAAGATTTTTAAAGCTGGATAGAAAATCTGCTACCAAGTTTAAATGTATAGATATGAGCTGTTATTTTATTTTTTATTTTTTGAGATGGAGTTTCACTCTTGTTACCCAGGCTGCAGTGCAATGGCATGATCTCGGCTCACCGCAACCTCTGCCTCCTGGGTTCAGGCACTTCTCCTGCCTCAGCCTCCTGAGTAGCTGGTATTACAGGCACGTGCCACCATGCCCAGCTAATTTTTTGTATTTTTAGTAGAGACGGGGTTTCACCATGTTGACCAGGATGGTCTCGATCTCTTGACCTTGTGATCCACCCGCCTCAGCCTCCCAAAGTGCTGGGATTACAGGCGTCAGCCACAGTGTCTGGCCAAGTTGTTATTTTTTTTTTGAGATAGAGTTTCGCTCTTGTTACCCAGGCTGGAGTGCAATGGCGCGATCTTGGCTCACCGCAACCTCCACCTCCTAGGTTTAGGCAATTCTCCTGCCTCAGCCTCCTGAGTAGCTGGGATTACAGGCACGTGCCACTCCACCCAGCTAATTTTTGTAGTTTTAGTAGAGACGGGGTTTCAACATCTTGGCCAGGCTGGTCTTGAACTCCTGACCTCGTGATCCACCAGCCTTGGCCTTCCAAAGTGCTGGGATTATAGGCACGAGCCACCATGCCCTGCCAATTTGACTTTATTTTAAAGAGCAAGTTTTTAGTTGCAGAAAGGTGAAAATAGTAGTTTAATAGTCTTCTATTTGGGTTATGTATCTTAACAGCCAAGTTTGCTTGCTTGCTTGGGCCATATATGGAGAGATAATATTGTTATTATCATAGAAGATAACTGGGTGTCATTGGAATGGTGCCTTTTCGCTGTGTACACATTGTTGTATATACATTTATTTTGAAATAAATAGAAAAGAAAGACCAGCTGCTAAGTAGATGATATAGTACTGCTTGTCTTTTTATAAAGGAAAAATCAATAACCAGTTTAAGTTTGGCTTTTTAAACTCTGGCATTGAGATATAGAGCCAACCTGTGTTGTACAATTTTTTTTGCCACTACCTATCTTTATTACCGTGTTAAGATTTCTGCTATTAGGCTGGGCGTGATGTCTCATGCCTGTAATCCCAGCACTTTGGGAGGCCGAGGCAGGCAGATCACGAGGTCAAGAGATCAAGACCATCCTGGCCAACATGGTGAAACCCTGTCACTACTAAAAATACAAAAATTAGCTGGGCGTGGTGGCGTGCACCTGTAGTCCCAGCTACTCAGGAGGCTGAGGCAGGAGGATTGCTTGAACCTGAGAGGCGGAGGTTGCAGTGAGCCGAGATCCCACCACTGCATTCCAGCTTGGCGCGAGACCGTCTCAAAAAAAAAAAAGAAAAAGATTTCTGCTATTGAAAAACATTGCTTTTATAAAATTGACCACATTGGGCCAGGCTCGGTGGCTCACACCTGTAATCCCAACACTTTGGGAGGCTGAGGTGGGCAAGTCACCTGAGTTCAGGAGTTCAAGACCAGCCTGGCCAACATGATGAAACCCCATCTCTACTAAAAATACAAAAATCAGCTGAGCATGGTGGCTCATGACTGTAATCTCAACTACTTCGGAGGGTAAGACAGAAAAATTGCTTGAATCCAGGAGGGTGGAGGTTGCAGCAAGCCAAGATTGCGCCACTGCACTCCAGCCTGGGCGACAGAGTTAGATTCTGTCTCAAAAAAATAAATAAATAAAATTGATCACATTGATTAAATTCTGTAGCACACAAGTGACTACAACCCTGTATGGAATACTTAGGGTTCCTCTGATACTCCATATGACACATGACTCTGGTATAGGGTAAAAGTGGAGATGTCAGGTTGTTCTGTATATTAAATGTTAGTGAAGCCTGCTTTCTTTCTTTTTGGAAGTAAGATATAAACATGATGAATAGTCACATATTTTCTTAAATTACTCCACTTTGGAGGTCATAACCTTAAACCATGTCCTAATTTCAAATAAAAAAGTTAACAAATTCTTGAGTCTACCCTAGCATTTACAACCTTACTCTAGTCTATGTAAAGATAGAGGAATGGGACTTAAGGTAATTCTGCATAATTTTCTATACATCTGTGACTGTGCATAAGTTAATTTTAAAGAACATGAATAAGAATGTAGTAAACAGTGAATTTATTTAAAAGTAATTAATGTCATAATTATTTCATAGTTCAGAACTATTTGATGTTCAGATTTTGTTTTTCAAGCACCCACAGGAAAAAGGAGTACCGAAGTTCAGACTTTTAAAACAAATTCAGACTAGTCTTCTTCATTAATGGTTCAAGATAATTAACCTTTAATGTGTTTTCGTTACTTTGAGGTATTAACTTTTTTCCCCTGTGCTTAAGTAATAGGAGTGAAACATCTACATCTGATAACACGGAAACTTACCAAGAGAATACAAGGTAAGCTTTTAAAAAATCCTGCCACTTTAGTAAAATATTATATTTATCACTTTATCAAATCCGTTTTAAATGAAACTTTCTTTTTTTCTTTTTTTTTTTCTTGTTTTTGAGACGAAGTGTTGCTTTGTTGCCCAGGCTGGAGTGCTGTGGTACGATCTCAGCTCACTGCAACCTCTGCCTCCTAGGTTCAAGTGATTATCCTGCTTCAGCCTTCTGAGTATCTGGGATTACAGGTGCCTGCCACCATGCCCGGATAATTTTTGTATTTTTAGTGGAGATGGGGTTTCACCATGTTAGCCAGGCTGGTCTCAAATTCCTGACCTCAGATGGTCTACCCGCTTTGGCGTCCCAAAGTGCTGGGATTACAGGTGTGAGCCATCACCCCTGGCTGTAAATTAAGCTTTTTAAAAAATTTCAGTTAAATCACTAGGCGTGGTGTTTGAAGTTAGCAGTTTAGAAATAGAAAATGCAGTTACTGCTTTTAAGAATCACATTAGATTAAAACAGTTTAGCTGTTCTCTTTCACAGTGGTCAGGTTTCTTCCATACATGATACAGGTAAAGTTGTCCATGTTGAACTGTCCTTTCCTGAAATTCAGAAGTATTAGAACTCAGTTTCGAGGCTAGCCTGGCCAACATGGTGAAACCCTGTCTCTACTAAAAATACAAAAATTAGGTGGGCATGGTGGCACATGCCTGTAATCCCAATTACTCAGGAGGCTTGGGCAGGAGAATCGCTTGAACCATGGAGGTGGTGGGGGTTGCAGTGAGCCGAGATCGCACCACTGCACTTAAGCCTGGCAACAATGAGACTCTGTTGCAAAAAGAAAAAAAAAAATCTGTTGATCCTCAGTGTTTTTGAGTATTTCATTCACATGATCAGTGCTTTTGTTTTTTGCTTTTCCTTTGAATTCTGGATGTTGGATTCCTAGGGCCTGGTATATTTTAGAGATGATATTGATGGGAGTCTTTCAGAAGTTTTAAGTTCCTAGATAATAAGGTTTGCAAAATGTAGAACATCACAGAATATTTAAAATTTTCAGTGAACTTATAATGAAAGCTATTGGCATCACACAAACGACTACAATTAAGTTTGTACCTAACTACATAATAAATGGAGCCAGCTAGGTTTTTGGTTTTTTGTTTTGGCCTAGAGGCACCATGAAAAAATAGTACTGAGGACACCAAGAGTACTGTAAAATGAGATTGGGAACCTCTGTAATGCATCATTTGCTGAACGTATGTTCAAAATGAGAGACTCTTTGAATAGTCTAATAACTCTAACTTTAAAAAAAATTTATAGTGATTCCTCAAAAAATAGGAGAGCATTATTTTATGTTATGATTTTGCAATAAGGATGTTTCACTTAAAATTGTTCCACAGTTCTTCTGGTCATCCCACTTTTAAGTGTCCCCTGTGTCAAGAATCAAATTTTACCAGGCAGCGTTTACTGGATCACTGTAACAGTAATCACCTATTTCAGATAATTCCTGTGGTAAGTACATCTGTTTAATGTCTTCTGCTTAGATTAAAACATGGTGTTCCATTTATTTCACTTCATGTGTACAAGGGAAAGTAGTTGATTTATATGTGGTTGGGACATTATCAGTAAGGTAGATTTTTGTCAACGAAGGATTTATGACTGTGATGCAAAATGAGATATTTAAAATAATTAAATATCTCATTATAAAAAGAGAGATGCATATTGTGAGATAATATAGCACAGTCTCATTATAAAAAGGGAGATGTATAGTGTGAAGTAATATAGCATAGTCTGGAGAAGAGTGAAGTAATGAAAGATGAACTGGGAACTCATTCCTGAGTAGTAGCGGAACCTATCTGTTGGGGCCTCAGTTTCTTGCTCTGTAGATGGCAGACAAGTGGATCTAGTCAGGTAGATTGCTTTAGGTGAAAATACCTATAAGTCAGAATGAAGTCAGTAGGTATTTTTATTGTATTCTTGCAGAATCTAGTATGTGAATACATAAAGCAAGGAAAGAAAAGACTCAGACTTTGTTTTTTGATGCGTGCATATTTTTCATAACATTTTGAGGTTATGTAAGAAAACGGTGAGAGCAGGCCGGGTGCCGTGGTGCACGCCTGTAATCCCAGCACTTTGGGAGGCAGAGGCAGGCGGATCACTTGAGGTCAGGAGTTTGAGACCAGCCTGGCTAACATGGTGAAACCCTGTCTCAAAAAAAAAAAAAGAAAAAGAAAATGGTGAGAGCTTTTTGATAATGAGGGAGAAAGAACAGAATGCAGTATTCCAATATTTAATGATCCTAGAAGCGTTTCACAGGTAAGTTATTTGAAATGAATGGAACAGGAGAAACTGAGCTGGGAGAGATTTCCCTTTCAGCTGAACATTTTGTTATATAAATATTGTTTTCGGAAGGAAAAATAGGAAGAGAAATGTTATCAATAAGAACTATAGATATTTCTAAGCTATTTTAGTGAATATGCTAGGAAAAGTTGTGAAAGAATATGCTTCAAGACCAGGTACAATGGCTCACAGCTATAATTCCAGCCCTTTGGGCGGCCGAGGTTGGGGGATCACTTGACCTCAGGAGTTTGAGACCAACCTGGCCAACATGGTGAGACCCTGTCTATTTAAAAAAAAAAAAAGAATATGCTTCAGTAACCCTTAAGGATGACCTTAAACTCTCACATACCACATAGAATGGGTTCAGTTATACTTAATAAACAAGTACAATGCCAAAGAAGTCTCTGGGAAATCTCTCTCATATTTAAGATTTTATTGGCCAGGCGTGGTGGCTCATGCCTGTAATCCAAGTACTCTGGAGGCCAAGGCGGGCGGATCACCTGAGGTCGGGAGTTCAAGATCAGCCTGACCAACATGGTGAAACCCCGTCTTTATTTATAAAAAAAAATTTAAGATATTAAAAAAAAGATTTTATTTACTTTTATATTAGATTACCAAATTCTTACTCATTTCTGCATAATATTTGATATGTCATACTTTGGCCAGAGTTCAGTTACTAAAGTGTGTGTGTGTGTGTTTGTGTGTCTGTGATTTTAGTTATGTAAGACATTCACATTTTTTTTTGAGACGGAGTTTTGCTCTTATTGCCCAGGCTGGAGTGCAATTGCAATGGCGCAGTCTCGGCTCACTGCAACCTCTGCTTCCTGGGTTCAAGCAATTCTCCTGCCTTAGCCTCCTGAGTAGCTGGGACTACAGACATGCACCACTATGCCCAGCTAATTTTTGTATTTTTAGTAGAGACAGTGTTTCACCATGTTGACCAGGATGGTCTCGATCTCTTGACCTCGTGATCTGCCCGCCTTGGTCTCCCAAAGTGCTGGGATTATAGGCGTGAGCCACCTCGCCTGGCCTTACATTCACTTTTTAAGATGTATTTCATTTAAAATTAAGGATATGGCTGGGTATGGTGGCACACGCCTTTAATCTCAGCACTTTGGGAGGCCAAGGTGCGAGGATTGCTTGAGCCTAGGAGTTTGAGACCCAGCCTAGACAACAGCGAGACCTTGTCTCTATTTTTAAAAAATGAAACCAGGTGCATTGGCTCACGCCTGGAATCCCAGCACTTTGGGAGGCTGAGCAGGCGGATCATGAGGTCAAGAGATCGAGACCGTCCTGGTCAACATAGTGAAACCCCACCTCTACTAAAAATTCAAAGATTAGCTGGGCGTGGTGGCATGCGCCTGTAGTACCAGCTACTTGGAAGGCTGAGGCAGGAGAATTGCTTGAACCTGGGAGGTGGAGGTTGAAGTGAGCCGAGATCCTGCCACTGCATTCCAGCCTGCGAGACTCTGTCTCAAAAAAATAAATTAAAAATAATGAAAAACTAATATTTAATTTTCCAGTTTACTTCATTTTTATTTTACTTATAAATGAAATAAAGCTCATAATAATTATATGATTATTGTACAGATCAAAATGAGATAATATATTGGGTATGTTGCAGGCAGCCAGTGATAACTGTCATTACAGTTAGTATTATTAAAAGCTAGATGTGCTGTTTCTGTTGAAACATTTGTGTAATAAGAGATTTAAGGAATATCCTGAAATACCACAGGTGGGATTAAAAAAACAGAGAGATTTAAGGAATAGAATGTCCTAAGATCTCTCTTACTGTGTTAATGTCATTTATTTAAAGTAATTGATTGGGAAATTATCTAGTAATGGAATTTGGCTTTTAAAAATGCTTCTCGGCTGGGCGTGGTGGCTCACGCCTGTAATCCAAGCACTTTGGAGGCCAAGGTGGGTGGATCACCTAAGGTCAGGAGTTCAAGACCAGCCTGACCAACATGGTGAAACCCCATCTTAAAAAAAAAAAATTTCTCACATAGGTGTTTTTGGTAATGTACGTCTGTGTTATTTTAATACTCTCAATTGTATTATATTTTGTTTTTCTTATTTTTTGTTTAAAACAATCTGTTTCTTATAGACATGTCCCATTTGTGTGTCTCTTCCTTGGGGAGATCCTCGCCAGATAACTAGAAATTTTGTTAGTCATCTAAATCAAAGACATCAGTTTGATTATGGAGAATTTGTGGTAAGTGAATTCTTCAAGATTAGGAAAGTACCGTTTAACTATTCAAGTTAAGTAACTTTTTGGAATCTAACTTTGAATTTTGTGGCAAGCTATTTTGTCTTACTTGATGGATTTAGTGCAAGTTCTTTGGTTTTTAATAATATTGGTGAACTTTAGCTTGTAGAAACGGTAAAAATTGAGTTTATTTATTAACTCTCTCTCTCTGTACTAGAGAGAGAGTTAACAGTGGAACAGCAAGCACCTAGATTAACAAAATGATGATTTACATGAATATACTGTCTAGATTTAAGAGAAAATTGTACCTACAAGAAAAGTGAAATTGGTATAACATATGGAGGATATATTTCTCATGTAGTGTAAGTTGCTTGTATCTATGCTAGAAATCTTAGATTTCTCACATCTAAAATGTAAGATACATCCTTTTTAAAAATGAGGAAGCTTAGTTATCAGGCAAAGCCAGGTTACAAAGGAGAATATTTAAGAGTGTAAGGGAAGTTATATAATGTAAAAATGAATTCGTAAAGCAAAATAGATTAATTTCTACTTCCAAATGTGTGTGATATAGTTTTTTAATTAGGTGAAAACTTAATTAATTCTGAAATTGCATATTATTCAACTTTAGTTTAATCAAAAACCCTATTTAAAATTAGTCCTGATAAAGAATGGCTATTTGTTTTCCAGTTTAGGTAAGCACAGTGATATGAACAAAATCTACATTTTTGTCTGCCTTCCATTGTTGGAATTACATCATTCTTGTTAAATGGTTTTAAAATTTTTTAGAATTTGCATTATTTAGCCTATTTCAAAATAATTAAAATATATGTAAAATTTAGGTGTGCTTTATTGTTTTAGCAATTTTAAGAAGTAGTTTTAGATTATTATTAAATTCTCATTGTGAGACAGATTTCTATGTCTAGACAAATGTATTTGGAAACACAAAGATTTGTAAACCACTTTTGATCTAATTGTCAAATTGTTTTTCCTTGCCATAGAGAAGTAGGTCATCAAATTATTTGAGATTGCCAAATTGAGGCCTTTAAAGCAAAACTCATGGGGCATAAAATTGATAGCAAATACAGTCTTTAAAATTAAGGATAAGTTTTATAACTTCATGTTATAGTTAACAATTTATTACTTGGCTGGATGCGATGGCTCACACCTGTAATCCCAGCATTTTGGGAGGCCGAGGCAGGCGGATCACCTGAGGTCAAGAGTTTGAGACCAGCCTGGCCAACATGGCGAAACCATGTCTCTACTAATTATACAAAAATCAGCTGGGTGTGGTGGTAGGTGCCTGTAATCCCAGCTACTCAGGAGGTGAGGCATGAGAATCACTTGAGACTGGGAGGTGGAGGTTGTGGTGAGCCAAGATTGCCCCACTGCACTTCAGCATGGGTGAGAGCCAAACACCATCACAAAAAAAAAAAGAGAATTTATTATTCAACTCATAATTCAATAAATGCATATTTTCTTAAAATCAGTTTACTGTCAGATATTTGGCATTATTTTCTAGAGATGACACATTTATGATTGTGTGTGATGATTAACTTCAGTTGTATTTTTCATTTTTTATCTTTATTTTTTGAAGAGACAGGGTCTCCCTGTGTTGCCTAGGCTGACCTCAAACTCAGTCTCAAACTGTCTTCTGCCTTAGCTTCCTGAATAGCTGTAACTACAGGCACATGCTTACCCAGCTTTACAATTTTTTTTTTTTTGTTTTCTTTTTTTTTGAAAGTATTCCCTCCTCTTTTTGGGGGAAGTTTGTAAAGAATTGGTGTTAATTAAAAAAAAATTTCAGTGGTGAAATCATTTGATACAGGGCTTTATTTTATGGGTAGATTTTTGCTTAACTATTCAATCTCATTGATTATTATAGTTCTTTTTAGACTTTTGATATTTTCTTAAATTAGTTTTGGTAGTTTATATCTTTCTAGAAATCTTCCATGTTATCTAAGTCATTTAGTTTGTTGATGTGCAGTTGCTGTCATAGTATTCCTTCTGTCAAGGTCAGAAGTAATATCTCTTATTTCTGATGCTAGTAATGTGAATTTTCTCATTTTCTTGGCCAATCTCACTATAGGATTGTCAGTTTTGTTGGATTTTCTTCAAGTAACCAGTTTTTTATTTCATTGATTTTCTCTATTGACTTTTATTCTCTATTTCATTAATTTTTATTTTAATCTTGTATTTTCTTCGTTTTGCTTGCTTTAGATTTAGTTTGCTCTTCTTTATCTAGTGTCTTTAAGTGGAAGGTTAGCTATTGATTTATTTTTTTCCTTCTTGATATAAACATTTACAGCTATAAATTGTCCTCTAAGCCCTGCTTTCACTGGATTCCATAAGATTGTAGTGTTTTATCTTCATTTTCATATATCTCCAAGTATTTTCTGATTTCCCTTTTGAGTTCTCCTTTGATCCACTGGTTATTTAGAAGTGTGTCTTTACTTTTCTTTTTTTTTTGAGAGAATGAAAGAAAAAAGGAGTGAAGGGAGAGGAAGAAAGGAAGAAAAAGAGGGAGAGAGAACGGAAATGTTGCTTTATTCTAAAAAATGGGTATTAATAATGGCCAATCAATATTTCATTTAAACCTCTGAGTAGGTGTGATGTGATATTTACAAAAATGTATATTTTGTGTATTTAAAGTGGAGAGCTCTATAAATATTTATTAAGTTTACTTGTTCCAGATCTGAGTTCAAGTCCTGGATATCCTTATTAATTTTCTGTCTCGTTGAGTCTAAGTCTCTTTATAGGTCTTATGTATCTGGGTGTCAGGATCGTTAGCTCTTATTGTTGCATTGATCCTTTTACCACTATATCTTTGTTGCTTTAAAATGTATTTTATCAGATGTGAGAATTGCAACTCCTGCTTTTTATTTATTTATTTATTTTTGCTCTCCATTTGGTTGGTAAATCTTTCTCCATCCCTTTGAGTCTTTGTGTATCCTTGCATGTGAAATGGGTCTGGATATAGCATACCGTTGGGTTTTGGCTGTATCTTTTGATTGGGGGATTTAGTCGATTTAAATTTAGGATTACTGCCATTTGATGTTAACTGGCTGTTTTATCCATTCGTTGATGTAAATTCTTTATGTTGATGCTCTTTACTTTTTGGTATATTTTTAGAAAGGCTAATACTGGTTGTTCCTTTCTATGTATAATGCTTCTTTCAGAAGCTCTTGTAAAGCAGGCCTGGTGGTATTAAAATCTGAGTACTTGTTTGTTCATAAAAGATTTTATTTTTCCTTCAGTTGTGAAGCTTAGTTTGGCTGGATATGAAATTCTGGGCTGAAAGTTCTGTTCTTTAAGGATGTTGAATATTGGCCCCCACTCTCTTCTGGCTTGTAGAGTTTCTGCTGAGAGATCTGCTGTAAGTCTGATAGGCTTCCCTTTGTGGGTAACCTGACCTTTCTCTCTGAGCCCTTAGTATTTTCCCCTTCGTTTCAACCCTGGTGAATCTAACGACTATGTGCCTTGGGGTTGCTCTTCTTGAGGAATATCTTTGTGGTGTTCTCTGTATTACCTGGGGTTGAATATTGTCCTGCTTTGCTAGGTTAGGAAAATTTTCCTGAATAATATCCTGAAGAATATTTTCCAGCTTGGATTCATTCTCTCCATCGCATTCAGGTACACTTATCAAACGTAAATTAGGTCTTTTCACATAGTCCCATATTTCTTGGAGACTTTGCTCATTCCTTTTTATCCTTTTTTCTCTATTTTTGTCTTCTCGTTTTATTTCATTAAGTTGGTCTTCGACCTCTGATATCCTTTCTTCTGCTTGATCAATTTGAGTGTTTAAACCTGTGCATACTTCTCGGAGTTCCCATATTGTATTCTTCAGTTCCATTAATTCACTTATATTCCTCTCTAAATTGTCTGTTCTCATTAGGATTTCGTCAAACCTTTTTTCAAAGTTCTTAGTTTCTTTACATTGGGCTACAACATGTTCTTTTAACTCACAGAAGTTTCTTATTATCCATGTTCTGAAGCCTGATTCTGTTAATGGGATGCATTCATTCTCTCCATCAAGCCTTGTTCCCTTGTTGATGAGGAACTGTGATCCTCTTTAGAGGGAGAGGCATTCTGAGTTTGAGTATTCTCAACCTTTTTACACTGGTTTCTTCCCATCATTGTAAATTTATCCACCTATTGTCTTTGTAATTACCAACTTTCAAATTAGGTCTCTGAGTGTACGTCCAAGAATTCCCAGGGCCGAAATATGAGCAACCCGCTGCGCCGGCCAAAACAGCGGCGTTAAGACTGATGGTGCTTTTCTGCCCGGGAATCTCCAGTCTGGCTTCCTTCTTGAGTCCGTAATAGGCGACTGTGCCTTCCCGGAGCTCCAAACGTTGGTCAGAAGGGGAACCAGTCCTGTTTACTCTGCACCAAGAGCTGCTGCACTGAGGTGCCGGCAAAACCGCTGCGCTGGCCACAAGAGTCGCGCTGGTGACCCGTGGGGCTCCTCCATTGGGAATCTTATGCTCCGTGAGCGACAAAAATTTGAAAGTGTGGTGTCCTCTCCTTCTCTGCCCTTTCACTGTGAGCTGCAATCCCGAGATGTTAGCGATCAGCCATCTTGGATCGTTCTTTCTAGCTTTACAATTAACCGCAGTTTTTATTAGTCACTTAGAAGGCATTATAACAGCTCAGATTTTGTTCCCTACTGATCTCTCTATTGTTTGTTATTCCTGAACATTTACAACTGAACTTAATTTTTTATGAAATTTCAGATATTCAAATCTTGTATTTTAAAAGATACCATTATGTATGTTGTACATAACTGACCTAAGTGTGTGTAATGTGTATCAAGATATCTAATGTATTGGGCAAAATATTGAGTAGTTGAGTATGTTTGTTTTTTCTGTTGACATGTAATGTTACTGTTTTTAGAATCTTCAGCTAGATGAAGAAACCCAGTATCAAACTGCTGTTGAAGAATCTTTTCAAGTAAACATCTGAAGGCTGAAGACATCTCTGCATCTTTGTACCTGCAAGTGCCATCTTTAAGGGAAAACTATATGAAGTCACCGTTTCAGTTGCTTGATGTGTATATTAATAAAAGTAATTCAGTCGTTTTAGGTTTTGATTGAAAATAAAGGCGAGGCTTCTAAAAACTTCATCCTCTTGATAAGTTAAAAAATGAAAGTTATGACATTAGCTTTAAAAGCATAAAAAAAGATATTTCACTAATGTAACGGTGAAAGAGAATCCCTGTTGTACTTTATCTTTTTGGAATACTAAATATTCTTGAATTTTTCATTATGTTGCTTTTGAAATTTGGTGCATTCCTCCCATTTACTTTATTATTGTACACAGATAACACACAGTAGCAAATTTTGAACAATGTGATTGATATAAACCTAACAAATCTGAGCCAGTTATTAGAGTTGCAGAGTAGAAACTTGAAGTGCTAAATGGAATAATCCAAAGGAAATTTTTAAAATGCAGATTCTAGCTGAAAAATTCAACTATAAGAAAATTGTATTTATATAACATTTACTATTTTTTGAAGACTAGTGAGAGTTCTGTAATAATTTTAATTCTTTAAAAAGCGAAAGCTTGTAAAGATATTTTGTTTTTGTTATTAGAAGGAAATACGAACAGAAAAATTTATTTCTCTCATGGGCATTTGGTAATTTCAGTCTTACTTTGACTGATTTATAAGTTTGCTAAGCTGAATAACAGCTCATTAGCCTCAGAATTTTCAATAGCCAGTATTTCTGATTAAGTTGAAACTTTTATTAGAAATTTTCAGTTGGTGATACTGTATTACTGTATTCTACAAGATACAAATGAGAGATTTGGCTTCATCTTAGTTTAGAAATTTATTCAAAGCTAAAGATGTTATATGTATGCATACATACACATATATGTGTGTATGCAGTTTGTCAGGTTATATATAGAATTTCTATTAAGGATTTTTTAAATGGACAAGCAATAGGGGGTTGAAGTGTTTACCTGATTTGTTAAAATTTTGTATATCACCAAATTTTTACAAAATAACAGTCACATTGCTAAATGATCTAGTTGGCTGCTATTACACCTTAAAAGTTGAGTTTACACACACACAATTACCTGTTTATATGGTGCTCATTTGTTATTCTCAAATATAATGTGTGACTGTGATGTAGTGAGAAAGATTCTACCAACCATTCTGTTTCACTACTTTTTAGTCAAAACTGGGTTTGTTCTTAGTATTCATTAATGAGAATCATATTTTGTAGAAGGCCCAAATCACAGAATAAAGGACGAAAAGTAGATTCACTGACATTCCATACTAATAATAAATTGTTTATGCTCTCTTTAAAATTACTAAAAGAACATAAAAGAATTTCAGAAGTAGTTTGCTGCTAATATATACATATTGTATAAAAAAGGTATATTTTGGTTTTGTTAAAACCCTTCTTGACTTTTTTACACTGAACATTTTTTTAACTTGATTTAATAAAAATGTTAATTTTGGAAGTGGAGTTTTGTAAAAACCTTTTTCAATCAAACAGTAATGACTTTATTTATGGATTATAATAACCACAAAAAAAGCCATATGTCTTAATGAACATATGCCTTTGTTTTGTCATTTTATAGGGTGATGTTTACTATGTATGTGCTTGAGCATTTTCTCTGCAGTTACATGGGTGTAATTTTCAAAACAAGCTCTTTTTAAGACCATAGTTTTTTCCAGTTTAAAGCAATAACTTTCATAGTTTCTTTCACAGTTTAATACATCCAATATGTTAAGTTAAACCATTCTGGGATTTGGGAACTTCTTTAAAGGAAAATTGTAGTAGAGGTCATCTTGATAGAATTGTATTTTGAAGTTTTGTGAATGAGTTAAGTATCACTGGTAGTCTTGTGTGTCTCACATATCAGCTTTTTCATAAGGAAAATACTGACTCTATTTGCTTTTATCTGGGAATTTCTCAATATGGAAATGATTGTTTAAAATTTCTCCTCCTTTTGTTAGTGAGTTGGGAATAGGGATAGACTTTACAGATTTAATTTATGGAAATTAAATTTACGGGGAGAAGTTCTTATTTTTAATATTGCTTATAGCTGAATCAGGATTAAAGGAGGGAAACTGTATTGATATTCCAATACCTTAATTTCACAGTACCACTTAGGAAAACTATTTCAACAAATTACAGTTTATGTTGTTAAACAGTCTTATTTGAGATGTATTGCTTTATTTTTCAATTAAAAGTGGTTTTCTCCTACTTGTGTGTCTAATTAAAATTTTGTCTGTAGGCAAACATTTAACTCTCATAACTCACCCTGAAAGACATGTAGGAGATAACCCATTATTTTGCATTTAAAAAAGGGATATGAAAAAGCTACCACATACTGGTGCTATATGTCAGATTTAACTTTATAAACCTATTTTATCCATTTCAAATGTTAATCACTTTATGAAACAATTTTATGAAGTGTCCATGTAACGAGATTTTCAAGCCCTGTTAGCAGCTAGGCAGAATTTTTTAATAGCAATAGAGTTGCTTAATAGACACTTTAATATGGAGAAATTACTTTTAAGTAAGATATCAGGGTTATAAGACTATTGCCAAATGTATTGTCATATACCTACGGGCTGCTTGGTAAGTATTAATTATCTTCAGTACATCATAACTTTTACAGAAACTCCTTACAGCTGCTACTCAAACCCTTTGTAGAAACGTGACTTTTTAGCGTACTATGTAGAAAAGGTGTGACCCAGAAAACATAAATACACATATTATAAAATTCAGACATAAAAGTAAAGCTCTCATTCCATGATACCACTTAGTGTGTAATGTAATTCTCTGTGCCATACAGTTTTGAAGAAAGATGGGGAAGAAAGGTGAATTAAAGATGGATACAGGATCATACACTTGGCATTTCTCAATTTAACAAAAAAGGGATACAGGAATCTAAGGAAAATGGGTGGTACAGCCTGTCTCCCCACTTGAACAGCAGTGGTCCTGTCCTGGGATTGAGAAAGATGAAATATGCTTCATTCTTCCCCCAAGGTGAGTAAAATGGGTGTATTATGTTATGTACTTTATTGACTAACCATTTAAACTATATTGTACAATGTCCTGTACAACGAATTCTTCCAGCCTGGGCAACATATACCCCCATCTCTACAAGTAATCAAGAAATTGGGCTGGTGTGGTGGTGTGTACCTGTAGTGCCAGCTATTCAGAAGGCTGAGGTGGGAGGATGGCTTGAACTGGGGAGGTTGAGGCTGCAGTGAGCCATTACTATACCACTGAACTCCAGCCTGGGTGACAGAGTAAGAGTCTGAACAAAACAAAACAAAAAAACAGTAATTCTTAAGATTGTAATAGTGAAAGATGTACTGTAGAATTTAAGACAAGCAAGGCAGGGGAATAAATATGGAAGACTGGTAATCAGATGAGTCAGCCATTTGGTGGAGGAAACAGAGGGAGACAATAGGATGTGAGGGAGATTTCATATTTGTCTAAATGGGCAATAATGGTACATGTTACTGAAAGTGCACAAAGTGAACAAAAACCTGAAGTAATAATCCATGCTCAGATCAAGAAAAAACATTACTAGAATCTCCTTAAATCCTCTTGTTTCTACTTCCAGTCACAGCTAACTACTATCACTATGTAACTTCTAGTACCACACATGGATTTGTGGTAAGTGGAAGCACAGAGTAAATACTAGTTTATGTCTGGCTTTTATAACGTTTTGAGATTTTTGTTTTGTTTTTTTTTTTCTTGTGTTTACAGCAGCAGTGACTTGTCTTTTGTCCAGAACAGAAAAGCTTAGTCTTCTAAAGTTACATTTTAATATTTGTAAAAGTTTTATTAAATGTATTACAAGTGATTATTTTGTGTATGTTGGCACCTAGGGATGCCAAATGTATGTAAAAACAAAACAGGCTGGTCTTCCCCTTATAACAGGAAGGAAGTGAAGAGTAGCCAAATGGCCTTCCGCTGCTCTTACCTGACTTTCCATGAGCTGTGTATGGGATGTTTTATCTTTTTTTTTCAGACAGTGTTTCACTATTACTCAGGCTGGTGCAGTCTCTGCAGTGGTGCAGTCTCTGCTCACTGCAACCTCCAAATCCTGGTTCAAGTGATTCTCCTGCCTCAGCCTCCTGAGTAGCTGGGATTACAGGCGTGTACCTCCACACTCAGCTAATTTTTATATTCTTAGTAGAGATGGGTTTCACCATGTTGGTCAGGCTGGTCTCAAACTCCTGGCCCTAAGTGATCTGCCTGCCTTGGCTTCCCACAGTGCAGGGATTACAGGCGTGAGCCATCATGCCGGGCCTGGATGGATTTTTGTTTTACATTTTTTGAGATGGAGTCTTGCTCCATTGCCCAGTCTGGAGTACAGTGGCGTGACTTTGGCTCACTTCAACCCCTGCCTCCCAGGTTCAAGCGATTCTCCTGCCTGAGCCTCCTGAGTAGCTAGGATTACGGGCACATGCCACCACACCTAGGTAATTTTTGTATTTTAGTAGAGATGGGGTTTTGACATGTTGGCCACGCTGGTCTCAAACTCCTGACCTCAGGTAATCTGCCCACCCTGGCCTCCCAAAGAGCAGGAATTATAGACATGAGTCACCAGTCACCTGCCTCAGCCTGGATGTTTTCTTTTCAAGGCATTTTTTGTAAGCATAACATTTTTCTATTTTATTTTTTGCTAGGCTCCTTCAAATAATGGGAAGTATGAGATTTTAATAAGTATTTAAAGACTCTTTTCTGGGATAGGGTCTGAAGCCACCAATAGAAACAAAGAGGTTGCAGCAGATATACAGAAGGGGTTTGGATAGATCTTTACCAGAAGACCAAGCATTAAAACAACTGAGCCTACTTTCTTGGACCAGACAGTCTGGTTTTGATGATTCTGGTTGCTACTCATTAACATTTGTAATGGAGAATAACTTGCAAAAATATTCAGTAGATCTCTCAAATGTCTAGATTAAGGGAAGACAGCTAGGTTGTTCATATCTGCATTGGCATTGAATCTATTGTAGGTTATTTTGCTTGAAGGATATGAAGATAATCTAATCTTATACAGATAATGTTGTTGGAAGAGGCAGGAATATTTTAGTAACCTTTAAAAAAAGATAACAGGCCCAGAATGGTGGTTTACACCTGTAATCCCAGCACTTTGGGAACCGAGGTGAGCAAATGGTTTGCGCTCAGGAGTTTGAAACCAGTCTGAGTAATGTGATAAGACCTTGTCTCTACAAAAAATATACAAAAATTAAATGGGTATGGTGGTGTGTGCCTGTAGTCCCAGCTACCTAAGGTGGCTGAAGTGGGAGGTTCTCTCGAGCCCAGTGAGGTCAAGGTTGCAGTCAACTATGATTGTGCTACTTAGTCTCCAACCTGGGTGACGGAGCAAAACCCTGTCTTAAACAAAACAACAACAAAAGACAACCAAAAAAATTCCAGAAAATGTTGGCTGGGGCTGGGCCCAGTGGCTCACACCTGTAATCCCAGCACTTTGGGAGGCTGAGGCAGGCAGATCGCAAGGTCAGGAGATCGAGACCATCCTGGCCAACATGGTGAAACCCCATCTCTTTAAAAGAAAAGAGGGTTGGCTGGATATTCTTACATACTACATCAAAACCACAACCTCCTGAACAAATAGTAACTTCTTAAAAGTTGGTTTTAATCTGAACCATATCAAACTTTGTGTACACTTAACAGGAAAATCCATAGATCTTGTATTTGAATGAATCTTTTAGCATGATTGCATAGCATTATGTAGTGGTCGGTCAAAAGATGGTGCACTGAGTTATGGAGATCTTCTAAATATTGACTCACTTTTTATACTATAGCAATTTTTTTTTTTTTTGAGACGGAGTTTCGCTGTTGTTACCCAGACTGGAGTGCGATGGCACGATCTTGGCTCACTGCAACCTCCGCCTTCTGGGTTCAAGCAATTCTCCTGCCTCAGCCTCCCGAGTAGCTGGGACTACAGGCACGCACCACCATACCCAGCTAATTTTTGTATTTTTAGTAGAGACAGGGTTTCACCTCGTTGACCAGGATGGTCTCGATCTCTTGACCTCGTGATCCACTCACCTCGGCCTCCCAAAGTGCTGGGATTATAGGCGTGAGCCACCATGCCCGGCCTATAGCAATTATTTTAATATCACCATTGATCTCATCAGTCTTTAAAAATTGGGAAGCCAGGAAGCTTACAAAATTGTGATTTTTGCTTAAAATCTCAAATTTTATCTTTGACAACAAATGGTTGTTGCCTTGAAGTGTCATGATGATTTCCTCCCTCCAAATACGCACATCTAAATATTTTGCCAGTCACTCTTTTAAGTAAAAGTGGCCATGCCATGAGATAAAACAAGTTGGTTGAGCTCCTAACTCAATATAATTTGCACAAGCATATTTTCTTGAGACAACCATTGTATCTCCTTATGCAGGAAATGTGCTTTGTGTGTCTTTCCCATTTTGTTTTCCAGAATAGTAAAAAAAGACTTGTACTTAAGGGTCAAAATTTTATTTTTTAATTCTTTTTGAGACAGAGTTTTACTGTGTCACCCAGGCTGGAGTGTGGTGGCATGATCTTGGCTCACTGCAACCTCCACCTTCTGGGTTCAAGTGATTCTCATTCCTCAGCTTCCGGAGTAGCTGGGATTGCAGGCACATGTCACCATGCCTAGTTAATTTTTTTTTTTTTTGTATTTTTAGTACAGATGGGGTTTTATCATGTTAGCCAGGCTGGTCTTGAACTGCTGACCCCAAGTCATCCACCCGCCTCGGCCTCCCAAAGTGCTGAGATTACAGTTGTGAGCCACTGCGCCGGGCCAGTCTTATTACTTGTTATTGGTTTGTTGAAGTTTTCTATTTCTACTTGATTCATTCTTGATAAGTTATATATGTGTCCAGGAATTTATTCATTTCTTCTAGGCTTTTCAATTGTTGGCATATAGTTGTTCATAATAGTCTCTAATGATTCTATTTCTGAGTTCTCAGTTGTTATGTCCCCTTTTTTGTTTCTGATTTTGTTTATTTGGATCTTCTCTCTTTTTTTTAGTCTAGCTAAAGGTTCATTGATTTTGCTTATCTTCAGAAAACAACTTTTTGTTTTGTTGACCTTCTGTATTTTCTTTAGTCTCAATTTCATTTATTCTGCTCTGATCTTTATTACTTCTACTTTTAGGTTTGGTTTGCTCTTGCTTTTCTAGTTCCTTGAGGTGCACTGTTATTTATTTGAAGTCTTCTACCTTTTTGTTTTTGAGACGGAGTTTTGCTTTTGTTGCCCAGGCTGGAGTGCAGTGGTGTGATCTTGGCTCACTGTAACCTCTGCCTCCCAGGTTCAAGTGATTCTCCTGCCTCAGTCTCCCAAGTAGCTGGGGTTACAGGCATATGCCACCGCACCTATCTAATTTTGTATCTTTAGTTGAGATGGGGTTTCTCCTTTTTGGTCAGGCTGGTCTTGAACTCCTGACCTCAGGTGATCTTCCTGCCTCCACCTCCCAAAGTGTTGGGATTCAAGGCATGAGCCACCGCGTCCAGCCTCTATTTTTTTTTAAGATAGGCATTTATTGCTGTAATCTTACCTCCTTAGTACTACTTTTTCCATATCTCACAGATTTTGGTATGTGGTATTTCCATTTTCTTTTGTTTCAAGAAAATTTTTAATTTTCTTCTTAATTTTTTCATTGACCCATTGGTTGTTCAGTAGCATGTTATTTAATTCCCATGTTTTTGTGGATTTTCCAAGGTTCCTTTTGTTATTGGTTTCTAGTTTTATTCCACTGTGATCAGAAGAGATACTTGACAAGATCTGTATTTTTAAAAATTTGTTGTTTTGTGGCCTAAAAGATGATCTATTCTGGAGAATATTCCTGTATTCTGCAGCCATTGAGTGAAATGTTCTGTAAACATTAGTTAGGCCTATTAGATCTAGTGTGAAGTTTAACTCCACTGGTTCTTTGTAGATAATGTGGATGGTCTGTCCATTACAGAGATTGGGTATTAAAGTTCCCTACTATTGTTATATTGCAGTTTATCTCTCCCTTTAGATCTGTTTCTTATTTTTTGAGACAGGGTCTTGCTCTGTCACCCAGGCTGTTGTGCAGTAGCATGATCATAGCTAACTGCAGCCTCAAACTCCTGGGCTCAAGTGATCTTCCCACCTGAGCCTCCCAAGTTGCTAGGATTTATAGGCACATACATGCCACCATGCTCAGCCCAAGCTGCTCTTGAACTCTCTTGGCCTCAAGCAATCCTCCCACCTCTGCCTCCCAAAGTGTTGAATTACATGCATGAGCCACTATGGCTGGCCCTTCCTTTAGATCTATTAGTGTTTGCTTTATATACCTGGAGGCTCTGGTGTTAGTTGGCATAAATATTTATAACTGTTATATTCTCTTGCTGAACTGACCCCTTTGTCATTAAATAGTAACCTTCTTTGTCTTTTTTTTTTGTAGTATTTGATTTGTGTCATGTAAGTATTTCATCTGATTTTATCTGGTATAATTGCTATTCCTGCTCTTTTTGGGTTTGTAATGCATGGAACATATTTTTTCACCCTTTCAGTTTCAATCTGTGTATGTCTTTCTAGGTAAAGTGGGTTTCTTGAAGGCAGAATGTAGTTGGGTCATGTTTCTTTATCCATGCAGGCACTTTATACCCTTTAATTGGAGAATTTACACCATTCACATTCGGCGCTATTATTAATACACAGGGGCTTTTAACTGCAGTTTTGTTGCTTGTTTTCTGGTTGTTTTGAGACTCCTCTCTTCCCCTTTTCCTTCCTTTTCTTTCTTTGTGGCTAAGCGATTCTCTCTAGTAGCATGTTTTAATTTTTGTATTTTATTTTTAGTAAATCTATTATAGGTTTTTGTACTGTGGTTACCATGAGGCTTACAGAAAATGTAACAAGTTATTTTAAAGAGTTGATAACTTATCTGAGGTTACAAATAAAAAAATAGAAGCAAACAAAGGCCAAGAAAAGCACATACACATAATTCTGTTCTTAAACTCTATCCCCTCCTCCATTTTGATTTATTTGTCTCAATTTATATATTTTTATATTACCTATCTCTTAACAGGTTGCTGTAGCTATTATTGTTTTTGAATATATTTATCTTTTGGGCTTCATAATAGAGTTCTGAGTGGATTGCACACCACAAACTCACTAATAAAGCATTCTGGGTTTGTTTGTGTACTTAATTTTAACATGGTTTATGCCTTGAAATGTTTCCTTTGTCATATTAGTGTGTTTTTGTTTTCCTTGCAGATTGAAGAGCTTCCTTTAGCATTTCTTGCATGATGGGTCTGGTGTTAATCAATTCTGGCAACTTTTGTTTGTCTAGAAAAGACTTTATTTCTTCTTCATATTTGAATGAGAAATTTTGCTTTATGCAATAATGTTGTTTTTTTTTAATTTGAGCACTTTGAAAATTTCATTCCATTCCCTCCTGGCCTGTGTGATTTCTGTTAGAGGTCTGTTGATGAATTGGAGCTCCTTTGTATGTTATTTGCTCCTTTCCTTTTGCTGCTTTTAGATCCTTTCTTTGCCTTTGACCTTTGAGATTTGGATTGTTATATGCCTTGGGTTAGTCTTATATGGGTTAAATCAATAGATTTGTTCTAAGGCTTTCCTGTACCTGGATATCTATATATTCCTTTATCTATGCAGGCACTCTACACCCTTTAATTTAGACCATTCACATTCAGCACTATTATTGATAAATAGGGGTTTATAACTGCCATTTTATTGCTTGTTTTCTGGTTAAGATTCCTCTCTTCCCCTTTTCCTTACTTATTTTCTTTCTTTGTGGCTAAGTGATTCTCTCTGGTAGTATATTTTAATTTTTTGTATTTTATTTTTAGTAAATTTTTTTTTTTAAGACGGGGTTTCACCATGTTGGTCAGGCTGGTCTTGAACTCCTGACCTCAGGTGATCCACCCACCTTGGCCTCCAAAGTGCTTAGATTTACAGGCATGAGCCACCACGCCCTGTTTTTAGTAAATCTATTATAGGTTTTTGTACTGTGGTTACCATGAGAGTTTTCTCTTATTTATTTGAATAAGCTTTCTATCTCTTGCTTGTGTTCAGCTCCCTCTTGAATGCCAAAAATCCTTAGATTTGATATTTTGAGCTAATTTTCTATATCTTGTGGGTGGTCTTCATTCCTTTTCATTCTTTTTCCTTTTACTTCTTTGATGGCATATTTTCTTTCTTTTTTTTTTTTTCACTGAGCTACTAAGCATTAAAATGAATAGTCTTTATGGGACCATTGAGAAATTGGGTTCATTTTAGGTCATTATTAAGATGCATAATTGATGACAGTTAACAGGTAGACAATATTCAGAAAAACTATAGAAACTAAAGCAGCCTGGGCAACATGGCAAGATCCTGTCTTTACAAATTTCTTTTTGTGTGAGAATCCCCCTCAAACACTGTTCAGACAAAATTTTTAAAAAATTAGCCAGGTATGGTGATATGTGCCTGTGGTCCTAGCTTCCTAGCTTTTCAGGAGGCTAAGGTGGGAGGATTGCTTTAGCCCAGGAGGTTGAGGCTGCAGTGAGCTGTGATCATGCAGCACACACACACACACACACACACACACACACACACACACACACACACAAACACACACACACAAAATAGAGAAATGGGAAAAAACTGAAGGTTTAGAAAGGAAAGATAAAGAATGTTTTATAAATTATGAGAAGCTGAAGAGGAGAATAATAAAAATGAAGTATAGCAGGGCTTCAAATACCATGACTTTGTTAACATGGTTTTGTTGTAATGTTGAAAAAATGGATTCCCAATGGGGACTACCATCTGTGTATGGTTTCCGCATCCTCCTCATGTCTGTGTGGGTTTTCTTTGAATACTCTAGTTTCCTCCCAAATCTCAAAGCTGTACACATTAGGTTAATTGGTGTTTCTACGTGGTCCCCCTTGGAGTGAGTATGTGGGTATTTATGAGTGTGTCCTGTGATGGAATGACATTCACTCCACGGTTGGTTCCCACCTTGCACCCCAAGCTTCTGGAAGAGAATCCAGCCATATGTGAGCCAGAACAGAAATAAGAGCATGAAAAATGAATAAAGGAATGAATACATATGATAGTAAAAAAAATTCACAAGATATATAAAAATCATGTGACTGCACTGATATGATTTGACTGTGTCCCCGCCTAAATCTCACCTTGGATTGTAATAATCCCCACATATCAAGGACAGGACCAGGTGGTGATAATTAAATCATGGGGGCAGTTCCCCCATCCTGTTCTTGTGATAGTGAGTTCTCATGAGATCGGATGGGTTTTATGAGGGGCTTCCCCCTTTGGCACTTCTTCCTGCTGCCCTGTGAAGAAGGATGCGCTTGCTTTCCCTTCTGATATAATTGTAAGTTTCCTGAGGCCTCCCCAGCCCTGTGGAACTGTGAGTCAATTAAGCCTCTTGCCTTTATAAATTGCCCAGTCTTGGGCAGTTTTTTTTTTTTTAAATTAAATTATTATTATTATTTTTTTAAGACGGGGTTTCACCATGTTGGTCAGGCTGGTCTTGAACTCCCAACCTCAGGTGATCCTCCTGCCTTGGCCTCTAAAGTTGCTTGGATTACAGGCATGAGCCACCATGCCTGGCCAGGCAATTCTTTATAGCAGCGTGAGAACAGACTAATACATGTGTGAAAATAAACAATGCAAGATAAAAGTGCATAATGAGCCTGCCACGTTTGTGATTGTTTTTGAGCTGCTTGGTGGTAGGAAGTGCTCCGATATTTTCTGCTTTGCAACCACTTATTCCTTGATTTAATCAACAGCTACTGCAACCCCCATCACTCACCGATTCACCAAAAGTTGGATACTTATATTACTTGTTTTTATTAATCTTTCTTAAAGGTAGGTATACCTCACATTTATTTCAATGTGTAATATTAGAAGTGTTTTGGGTCTTTATTTAGAAGTTGGTGATGTTTTTGTGACCAGAACTTTGTCACAAGAAACTATTGTTTATGTCAATTTGCCTATGGTAAAATTGGTTTTTAAATATTTTGTTTTGCTTAAAGTTGAAGTTTCTAAGAATTTATTGATGATGTTAAGTGAGGACTTAATTGTATTTAGAAAAAAAATGCCCCCCTTACATTTATCAAATACTCTATAATTTCACTGTACTTTTGGGTCCATCATTTTGTCTGATTTTCACAATGATGTAGATAGGGCAGATATCATCTCCATTTTACATATCAAGAATCTAATTCATGGTAGATAAAGTTAGATGTCTACTCCAAGGTTATATGTCATATTGATGGTAGGTAGTTCCAGAACTTGAATCTACTACATAGTTCCTAATCTAAAGCTCTAACACACAGAGCTGTCCATAAAATGTGGAATTGCCCTTGATTTTTGCTGTCAAACGGTATAAGTTTATGAACTCCACATTTCCCTTCTTCTACATATCTAGGTCTCCTTCCTAGGAGACCTACTTCTGGGTCTAGGTCTCTGTAGAGATCTACCAGCTATCAAGACCTTTAGATGGTTTACTTTGACATGTCATCCCTAGATTTATCTCCCAGGACTGGGACACAGGACCTTTTAGCTTATTGTACTTATTCATTGAATGAGTTATTAGTGTGTGCTAGAAACTGTGCTGAACCCTAGACAGACAATATTTAGCAGAAAGACATAAGCCCTGCCTGTATGACATTTTACAGTAGCGGGAGAGAGCATTCTATATCCACACTCAACTTGAAAACTCCAGCTGTGTTAAGTGCTATGATGCCATGAGAGCACATAATAGCACAATTTGATTATGTCGGGAGGTCACAGAAAAGATCTCAGTTAAAACCAGATCTGAGGGAAAAGGAGGCTTTAACTAGACAAAAATGTTGTACAAAACTAAACTAGTGCTTCCAGTCTTGTCCAGCATGGTAAAATTTTGAAGCTCAATAAATTTCTGAGACCTCTCTACATGAGTAGCTGATTTTTTTTTTTTTTTTTAATCGTCTTCCGTGGAAAGCTCAGAGTAGGCTGGGCATGGTGGCTCACGCCTGTAATCCAAGCACTTTGGAGGCCATGGTGGGGGGATCACCTGAGGTCGGGAGTTTAAGACCAGCCTAACCTCAATGTGGTTTTGATTTGCATCTCTCTGATGACCAGTGACGATGAGCATTTTTTCATATGATTGTTGGCCTCATATATGTCTTCTTTCGTAAAGTATCTGTTCATATCCTTTACCCACTTTTGAATGGGCTTGTTTGTTTTTTTCCTGTAAATCTGTTTGAGTTCTTTGTAAATTCTGGATATCAGCCCTTTGTCAGATGGGTAAACTGCAAAAATTTTTTCCCATTCTGTTGGTTGCCGATCCACTCTAGTGACTGTTTCTTTTGCCGTGCAGAAGCTGTGGAGTTTCGTTAGGTCCCATTTGTCTATTTTGGCTTTTGTTGCCAATGCTTTTGGTGTTTTGTTCATGAAGTCCTTGCCTACTCCTATGTCCTGGATAGTTTTGCCTAGATTTCCTTCTAGGGTTTTTATGGTGCCAGGTCTTATGTTTAAGTCTTTAATCCATCTGGAGTTAATTTGGGTGTAAGGTGTCACCATGGAATATTATGCAGCAATCAGAAATGATGAGTTTGTGTCGTTTGTAGGGACATGGATGAATCTGGAGAACATCATCCTCAGCAAACTGACACAAGAACAGAAAATGAAACACCGCATATTCTCACTCATAGGTGGGTGATGAAAAATGAGAACACATGGACATAGAAAGGGGAGTACTAAACACTGGGGTCTATTGGGGGGAAAAGGGGAGGGCCAGTGGGAGGGGGAGGTGGGGAGGGATAGCCTGGGGAGAAATGCCAAATGTGGGTGAAGGGGAGAAGAAAAGCAAAGCACACTGCCATGTGTGTACCTACGCAACTGTCTTGCATGCTCTGCTCATGTACCCCAAAACCTAAAATCCAATAAAAAATTTAAAAAAAAAAAGACCAGCCTAACCAACATGGTGAAATCCCGTCTTTAAAAGAAAAAAAAAGAAGAAAGTCTCAGAGTAGCTGATTTTTAACATTTGGGCAAATATACAGTCCTATGACTCCACTAACAACTCTAAATGGATTTATAATTTATTAATCACCCAACCTTTAGGTACATTTGGACCATATTTCCTATTTTTGTGGGATGTTATTTATTTTTTATTTTTTTGTGACAAAAAAATATGTCGCTCAGGTTGGAGTGCAGTGGTACCATCTTGGCTCACTGCAGCCTCCACCTCCCAGGTTCAAGTGATTCTACTGCCTCAGCCTCCTGAAGAGCTGGGATTACAGGTGCCCACCACCATGCCTGGCCAATTTTTGTAGTTTCAGCAGAGACAGCGTTTCACCATGTTGGCCAGGCTGGTCTCAAACTCCTGACCTCAGGTGATCCACCTACCTCAGCCTCCCAAAATGCTGGGATTACAGGTGTGAGCCACCTTGCCCAGACAGGATGTTATTTATTACTATGCAGATAACACTTGCTACAATGTGTGGCCCCCTTATAATTTCTAAGGCTCCTAAGAGTTTGCTGCCCATAAGTTATCCCTCTGTGAGCTAATTTGTGAGTTTGTACTGTTGAGACAAGAGAAAACAGGACCTTTCCTCTCCTTTTCCCTCCACTACTAGGTACCAAAAGTGCATTTTTTCAGTGGCTTCTTGGAGACAACAGTGTCAGCCAATTTGCAGTCCAGCTTCAAGGGTGAACGGGCTGTGAAAATCCCTATGTATTGCTTTAGAATAATTGTGAAATGGAAAAACTCTATTAAGGGAAGAGAACAAAAATATTGGGTAATGCAGTAGTTGGTCAAACTGTAATACAGAAAGTCCTTATGGTTCAGTATATTTTATTTGAGTAAAAAGGGAGGGGTTCTCTTAAGAATGTTTAAATACATTATTTAAAAAAACTTGAAACACAAAGTCCCACTCTATTGCCCAGGCTGGAGCGCAGTGGCTCATTCATAGCTCACAGCAGCCTAAAACTCCTGGGCTTCAGCCATCCTCTCGCCTCAGCGTCCCAAGTAGCTGAGACTACAGAAATGTGCTACTATGCCTGGCCAATTTTTTAAATTTTTAATAGAGACAGGGTCTTACTATATTGCCTAGGCTGGTCTCAAACTCCTGGGCTCAAGTGGGCTTCCTGTCTTGGCCTCCCAAAGCACTGGGATTGCAGGTGTGAGCCACTGTGCCTGGCGTAACATATTCTTAAAAGCACCTGGAGTGCTGTTAGGGCTGGCAAAGCTCTGGGGATCAAATCCCAGAATGATGTGTGACTTCCTCACCAAAATAGTGTTCTTTTCCTTCTGTCTGAGATGTCTAACCTGTCTCCAACCTTGGTCCTCTGACCTGCAGGCTTAAGCTTCGGCCTGGACTCTTCTGTGAAGACATTGCTGACTCCTTCAGATAGATTCTAGAGTTCTTTCCCAGGCCCCCATTGTACAAAGATCCACCTGCATTATTTGCAATTGCCATATGGCCTTACATGTTGCATCATGAGGCTGGGAACTCACAAAGGCTGTGGCTAATAGGTGCTCAATAAAGGCTTGGGGAAGGAATGTGTTGTTGCTTTTTTGATACTGGGGCTTTAAAATGAAGATTACAAAGTATTTTGGGAGAAAAATATAATTGTGTCTACTAAGTCCAAAGCAATGTGCAACTCTGCCATGATTTTAAGCCCTTAGTACACTTCTTATCCCAAATGATGTCAAGTATTTTAATCCAGTTTTGTGACTCTATGACAGGACAACTAGCAACTCTGGGGAAGGAAGCACAAAACGCAGAAGGCAAAAGGAACCGCATCAAATTAGTGTAACTAGGCAAGCGGCATGTCGAAGAGGCTGCTTAAAACACATACGTGGGACAGCCACAAGGTGGCAGCTTAGAACTGTGACATTATGCATCCCTATTCAAAGACCCAACAGCGGGGAATACAGCTGGCTGGAGAGTGGAGAGTGGGTTTATTGGGGCAATTAGAACCGAGAAAAAAAGAAAGAGACCGTGATTTATTGTACTTGCTGTGTACATCTTTAAAATATTGTCTGCTCTAGAAAAAAACACAGGCACACACACTTAAGTGCATATACACAGGAAAGACTCTCAATTTCACAATTCGTGAGTCTCAGTCTTAAGAAGCGTTAACCCCAGAAAGCTGGCTGTTTCCTGAGGTGGCCCCACGGACTTCCTACCTCTTATGGGATGCTTTTATAGGCTAAGAACTTTTTTTTTTTTTTTTTTTTTTTGAGATGAAGTTTTGTTCTTGTTGCCCAGGCTGGAGTGCAGTGTCGTGATCTCAGCTCACTGCAACCTCTGCCTCACAGGTTCAAGAGATTCTCCTGCCTCAGCCTCCTGAGTAGGTGGGATTACAGGTGCCTGCCACAATGCCCAGCTAATTTTTATATATTGTTTTGGTAGAGATGGGGTTTCACCATGTTGGCTAGGCTGGTCTCAAACTCCTGACTTCAGGTGATCCACCTGCCTTGGCCTCCCAAAGTGCCGGGATTACAGGCGTGAGCCACTGTGCTGGCCAGGACTTCTTAAGAATACTTTTACTTTCATTGGGTTTCGTGTAACATATTTGCTTTAGAACTTCACTTTCTTATAAATTGCTACTCTATTCTGCTTATAAAAATATACATATAGAAATCCATATATTATAGACTATATAGATTTATTTTATGTTATAATTTCACATTAATTGGTGAATCAGAAAACCAGTGCTTTCTACCATGCCTTTGAAATAGTAGGTGCTCAATATATGTCTGCTGAACTGAAGGGAAACAGAATATGTATCTTGGAAAATAGAAGGTGTGGGCACAGTAGCAGAGGAATATTTCAGCACAATGTAGAAGATCACAAAGGGGCAAAAGAGAAGAGAATGCCCACCTCTCTGCCACTTCTCAGAGCAAACCATTTTACTCAGGGGTTCATAAAATTCAGGGTCCCTTACCTATTTTTTTTTCTTTTATTGAGATGGAGTCTCACTCTGCTGCCCAGGCTGTAGTACAATGGCGTGACCTCTGTTCACTGCAACCTCCACCTCCCATGTTCAAGCCATTCTCCTGCCTTAGCCTCCCAAGTAGCTGGAATTACAAGTATAAACCACAAAACACAGCTAATTTTTTTTTTTTTTTTGAGTCTGAGTCTTGCTCTGTTGCCCAAGCTGGAGTGCAGTAGCTCAATTTTGGGTCACTGCAATCTCCACTTCCTGGGTTCAAGTGATTCTTGTGCTTCAGCTCCTGAGTAGCTGGGACTGCAGGCACATGCCATCATACCTGGCTAATTTTTGTATTTTTAGTAAAGACAGGGTTTCACCATGTTGGTCAGCCTGGTCTTGAACTCCTGACCTCAGGTGATCTACCCACCTCGGCCTCTGAAAATGCTGGGATTACAGGTGTGAGCCACCTTGCCCTGCCCTAATTTTTGTGTTTTTATTATTTATTTTATCTTGAAACGGAGTCTTGCTCTGTTGCCCAGGCTGGAGGGCAGTAGCTTGATCTCAGCTCACTGCAACCTCCGCCCCCTGGGTTCAAGCAATTCTCCTGCCTCAGCCTCCTGAGTAGCTGGGATTACAGGTGCCCACCACCACACCTGGTTAATTTTTTTGTATTTTTAGTAGAGACAGGGTTTCACCTTGTTGACCAGGCTGGTCTCGAACTCCTGACCTAGGTGATCCACCTGTCTCGGCTTTCCAAAGTGTTGGGATTACAGGAGTGAGGCACTGCACCCAGTCTTCTTCCTTGTTTTGATTCATGCTGTCACCATGTCTACATATCTTTCTAGTGATTTGAACACCAGTTTTTATAACATAATTATGAAACTTTAGGTTTCTAGAAGGCAAATATCATAGAGTCAACATCTTGTCTGAATGATCACATTTCCATACCTTGCCCTGAGTAGGCATTTAATAAAGATTGGTTATAAATTTAACCTACCCATAAGAGCCAGGCGCAGTGCCTCATGCCTGTAATCCCAGCACTTGGGGAGGCTAATGTGGGTGGATCACGAGGTTAGGAGATTGAGACCATCCTGGCCAACATGATGAAACCCTGTCTCTACTAAAAATACAAAATTAGCTGGGCATGGTGGCACATACCTGTAATCCCAGCTACTTAGGAGGGTGAGGCAGGAGAATAGCTTGAGCCAGAGAGTCGAAGGTTGCAGTGAGCCGATATCATACCATTGCATTCCAGCCTGACGAAAGAGTGAGACTCCGTCTTCAAAAAAACAAAAATTAACCTACCCAATAAGAAGTCCCAAAGCTAAGCACTGAAACACATGAATGTGAGAAATTACTGAAGTAATTAAAAAGAAATGTTATTTCCTGGTGGTCTAGTGACTAGGATTCAGGGCTTTCACTGCCAAGGCCTGGATTCATTTCCCAGTCAGGGAACTTATTTTTTTAATGGAAAAAATAAATAAATGTATTAATTTTAAAAATAGGAAATGTTATTTATAGTAAACCACCTAGATACTACCTAAAATGTAGCTTTTGTTAAATTTTTTTTTGTGTGTGTGTGTGTTCCCCCCTACCTTAGTGACTTTCTTTTAACAGCAATTTTTGTTAAATTTCTAACAAATCAAAATTATATTTTAATAAAATCCTATTTTTTCCCTACCAGCAGTAGGATAAAAGCTATGGATATAGGGCAAAGGGTGTGATATAATCTTGTCTCTAGGAACTTACAACTTACTGGAAAATGATAACATATCTATCAATACACGTTCAACAACATATGGCAAAAATAAATGCTGTAGATGTTCAGAGGAAGGAGGAAGGCATCAAGGAAGGGATTAGCATGGCCTGGACTTTGGAAGGTGAATCATACCTACATAATAACAGGAGGGGGAAGCATTCTTGGGGCAGAAGCTCAGGAGGGTGTGTTCAGGAGAGAGTTGCAAACAGAGAACAGGGTCTCCTGAGCAGAAGTTCAGGAGGGTGTGGAGGGGGAGATAAGCCTGAGATGCAGAGGTGACAGATCCTGAGGACACTGGGAAGTCTGTCCTTCAAGAGTCTGTCCTTTACCCCAAAGGCACTGCAGGTCTTTGAACAGGGTAATGATCTGGTGGAGGCTAAGCCTTTGAAAGATTATGCAGGTTCTATTGGTATGGGTATAATTAGAGACTTAAGTGTTATTTTATTTTGTTTTCTAAAAGTCATCCAGACAAGTTGGGCACAGCAGCTCATACCTGCAATCCCAGTGCTTTGGGAGGCTGAGGCAGAAGGATCACCTGATATTAGGAGTTTGAGACCAGTTTGGACAACATAGTGAGACACTGTCTCTACAAAAAAATCAAAATAAAAAAAAATTACCTGGCATAGTGGTGCGCCCATAGTCCTGGTTACTGGGGAGGCTGAGGTGGGAGGATTGCTTGAGCCCTAGAGATCACAGCTGCAGTGAGCCATGATTATGCCACTGCACTCCAGCCTGGGTAACACAGCAAGACCCTGTCTCAAAACAAACCAAAAAAATGCCATAAAATACAACCTGTAGCTACTGTACATATATAAATATTCACATGATAGCCAGAAGATTTATCATATAAGAAAATGACAGAAGTACAAATCTCATGTAATATTTTTGTTTTCTGTTTAAATATTTTTTTATGAACAAAGTACAAATAATGGCCCACACTTCTCATAAGTAGACTGATTTTTAAAGATGTAGGTGGGGAGTGGATGATGAATGAAGAGGAGAATGACTAATGACTTTATTTAGAAGCAAACCCCACCTAAAGTGCCAAGGGCCTTGCTTTTGAAAGGGGCTCTTTGCAGTCAGTTGGGCAGTGGTTTGCTATGCATGGCGGCCCTTCAGAGAACCAGCTAACCCGAATCAAAAGTTATCTCTACGAGGATTGCTAGCCAACTGCAGCACAAACCTTCTGTAAAGACAAATGGGCTGGGTCTGGTGGAGCGTGCCTGTAGTCTCAGCCACTGAGGCTGAGGTGGGAGGATCAAAAGCCCAGTAGCTTGAGACCAGCCTGGGCAACATAGTGAGGCCTGGTCTTAAAAAACAATGTAAATTTCACTCAGGTATACACAGTTTCATTTAGCTAACAAAAATATATTTGCTGTAGTCAAAAGTTTAAACATGGAATTTCAATATGACGCAGTAATTGTACTCTTAGATATACAGCCAAGAGAAATGAAAACATGTATTCACACAAAAACTTGCATGAGAATATTCATAATAGCATTATTCACAATACCCAAACATTGAAATCCACCTGAAAGTCCATCAACTGATGAAGAAATAAAATGTGGCGTATCATACAATGGAATATTATCTAGCAAAAAAATGAAGTACTGATATATGCTACGAGATAGACGGATCTTGAAAACATTATGCTAAGTGAAATGCACTAGATACAAAAGACCATATATTGTATGATTCTATTTAAATGAAATGTCCACAATAGGCAAATCCTTAGAGACAGACAGTAGATTAGGGCTGCATAGCACTGGAGAGGTTGTGAAGAAAGTGGGAGGGACTGCTAAATGGTAGAAGGATTTGGGAGGGTTGTAATGAAATGCTCTAAAATTGTTGTGGTGATGGTTAATGCTGTGAATATACTAAAAGCCACTCTTCATTGTACATGTCAAAAGGCTGATTTATATGGTATGCATATTATATCTAAATAAAACTGTTACCAAAAGAGAAATATCTGTTGTAACATCATAGTACTGGAAAGGACTTCAAGATGTCATCTAACATGGTTTAATCACTTAAATGTAGTTCATATATGTCACTTAAGTCATGGAGCCCTCATGTGCTGGGTTTTGGATGTGATATTGTGAGAGCCTGAGGAAGGGCACATGGCTCAAGCTGGAAGTCAGGGAGAATTCCCAGAGGAGATGGTACCTAAGCCAAGAGTTAAAGGATAACTAGGCATTAGCTTGGTGGCACTAAACAACTTGAGGGGCTGGGCTCCCAGCACTTTGGGAGGTTGAGGTAGGAGGATTCCTTGAGCTCAGGAGTTTGAGGCCAGCCTGGGCAACACAGAGAAACTTCATTTCTTAAAAAAAAATTAGCTGGGTATGGTGGTGCACAACTGTGATTCCAATTACTTGGGAGGCTGATACAGGATGATCTCTTGTGCCCAGGAGGTCAAGGCTGCAGTGAGCTGTGATCACACTACTTCACTCCAGCCTGGGTGACAGAGTCAGACTCTGTCTCAAAACAAAACAGTTTGGGGGATGTAGCTGTACAAAGAAGCTGTAAACACCTTGTATGATTGGCATATTGAGTACAAGTTTGAAGAGGACAAGAGAGCTACAACTAGCCAAAGTTGTAAATACAGATGGAAAGCCTCCAGTGCCATGATGTCTAGATTGCATTTACTCTTGCAGCATGTAGGCTACCGCTGAAGGGATGAACCCAGAAAGTGGCATTGTGTCTTGCATTTTGGACAGACCACTGTACATATGGAAGAGGGGGCCACATTGGCAGAAGCAGCTTGTTAGGAAACTGAAGCCCAGAAGAGAGACATGCTGAGAGTCTGAAAGGATAATGTGGTAGGGCTGGTGGGTGGGGAAGAGAGATGGGGGTTTCCAACATGTTGAGGAGGAAAAATGAGCCATGCTTGATATGGCTTAGGTGTGAATATGAAGGACAGGATGAGATCCGGAAAACTCAGGTGTTCCTGTTAATGTACCCAGGTAGAGGGAGGAGCTATTGACCGATACAAGCTTGCAGGAGACAGATTTTCCAAGAGAGGAACAGAGTGAGTTGAGTTCTAAATGAGCTGATTTTGAGACATGTCTAGGAGGAATTGATTTTGAATGTGAAGCATAAGGATAGGAGGTCATGGAAACCATGAGAACAGATTCAATCACCCAGACTAATGTAATAATATCTAATAGTTGTTAACATTTACTACACCCCTCCTATGTGTTTGTATGTATTAACTGACTTAATTCTCCCAAAACCCTATTCAGTTGATACTTTTACCATATTTATGTAGAAATGAGAGGTTAGAAATAGTAAGAGAACTTTCATAATCTCCCTACCCTGACACCAACCTACCTACCCACCTCAATCTGCAGACCTCAAGTTCTTGGTCTTCTATGGATGTAAGTAACTTTTCTCACAGTGCAACCCCTCCAGTGTCATAGATCTCATTCTCTTTCACCTACTACAATAACATTGTTTCAGCAATTGTCCTCTCCCTCTGTCCTTCATAAAATTGAACCTCTCTGTGGATCATTCCTATCAGTATACAAACATATTATTATTTCTCCCAATTTGAACAAAACCACAACCAGAACTCTTGGCCCCATTCTGCCTTCTAGCTCATGTTCTATTTTTGTCCTTCCTTTTACACCTCACAAAAATCATCTGTACTCATCGTCTCTAACTTCTCTATTCCATTCTCACGTGAACTCATGCTGATATGGCTTTTACTGCTTCTAGTCTGTCTAAATTATCCTTAACAAGGTAGCCGAAGACCTCCATTTTGCTAAATCCAACAATCGGCTCTCAGTTCCTGTCTAATTTGACTTTCTGCAGCACCCTGACTCAGCTGATCAACTCCTCCCTTGAGTCGGAGGCTACTAAGCTCTTGGTTCTTTTCTTATCTCTCTGCTCACTCCCTTAGTTTTTTTTGCTTGTTCCTCCTCATGTTCCTGAACTTTGAGTGGTGACCAGTCCTTGTACCTAAGGTACCTGGTATTCTAGGGACCAGTCCTTTTACCTCTTCTCTTCTGTTAATGCCTGGGTGATCTCATCCAATCTTGTGGCAGCATCTCACTGCACGCTGTTACTCCCAAATTTGTATCTTTAGCCTCTACCTATCCCTTCATAGATCCAATTTTCATCTCAAATTTGGTGTCTAAGAGAAAATTCTTTTTTAATTTTTTTATGCTTCCCCCAAAATAGGATGTCATAAGAGAAAATTCAAACTCAGTTTGACTAAACTGAACTCCTGATCTCCTCCAATCCCACCCAAGCTTAGGTGTCCTTATGTTTTTCCAAGTTTGTTTAATAGTAATGTTATCATTAAAGTTGCTCAGCTCTAAAACTTGGATTCATCTTGGATCCCAGTTTTTTTCTGATACTCCATATTTGGTCCAAATTTCTACAGACTCCACCTTCAACACATTCCTGGGATCCCACCTCTTTGTATCATCCCCACTGCTGCTCCCCTGGTCTAAGCTGTCCTCAGTTCCCCTGTGGATTTCTGCAATAACCTCATAATCCGCATTTGCCTATCTTTCAATGTATTCCCAATAGAGCAGCCAGAATCATCCTGCCAAGAATCATTTGCTCTTGTTTATTCCCCTGCTCAAAATCGTCCAGTGGATCCTTACGCCACAGTGAGTAGGAGACAGAGTCTTGGAATGTCCTATAAGCCTTTCCCTCTGTCTACCTTGCTCCCTAAACAATTTGACGTCCCTCTTGCTACTTTCTTCATTCACTCCCTCCAGCCACACTGTTATCCCTGCTGTTCTTTGAACATGTTGGTTGTGTCAAAACTCAGGGCCTTGTATTTGCCATCTCCTATGACTGGAACTCTCTTCCCATAAAAATCCCCAGAGCTTGCTCCCTCACTTCCTTCACACGATTACTCAGATGTCACCTTGTTGGTAAGTCCTTCCCTGACAATCCCAGTGAATATTTCTACCCCTCCCCTGACACTCCTTATTCCCTCTCTTAACCTTATGGTGGATGAGTACTGTGCTAACTCAGCTAGACTGGAGTTATAATTCCCAGATTCTCTTCCCTGGAGAGCTCCGAAGTCACATAGGCCACAGACATGTGTCTCACAGGCTTAGAAGGCAGAGTTGAAGGAAATATCATCTTGTTTTACACTCAGAAGACTGGCATAGGGTGCAAAGCACTTGTGCAGCTGAGGGCATTGTTGCTACCTGGTGGCTTGCCTGCCTGGCACAGGGCAGTGGCTGGACCCTTGACAACTCCTCTAGCTTTAACTGGATCTTCCTTTAATTTTTCAGACTCTTAGGTGAGGGATGTGTTTAGCTCCACGGTGAAGGAGGCCAGCTTCTCCCTCAATACTCCTCCTCCTACCCTCCATTATCACCAAAGTTGGAGGCTTAGAGATGGTGAGAAATCCATAGAATTCTAGTTAATCCTCTTGGTTTCCCACTCAGCTGCATAGGTTCCATCTTGTTTCCCTTACTTTAGGTCCATCTTCCCTTCCTGACTACCTGCTCTGTTGATTTCAGGTACCAGTGCCTGACGTAGAAGCAACAGCCACCATATGGACTGTTTAATCAGCACCCACATTTGCATACAGGCAAATCCATATAATAAGGCCCTATAATACACTATTCCATGTTTTGTGTGTGGTATGTGAATAAAAGTTTAACAAAAAGCTTCCTGGAAAAAGAAAAAGCACCCTAATTTGTAGTATTTGTCCATTTCCCTGGTATAAATATTCCCACATGGTCAATTTCAAGCCACCAATGTGACATCACTGAATGGGGAGGAAACAGAAGATGCTAATAGCTCTTTCAGGCCAGTCCTAGCCAGTTCCAGCCCACCACT